CTGAATATCCAGCGTTTGTTTCTCTGGAGAGTGAAACCGGAGGAGGAGAAGATATCTTTATCGGCTGATAAAGATATTGCAAGGACTCTTAACTTGGACTATACTAGTGAGTCTTACTGGATGGAAATACTGTGAATGACTTAATGGACTGAATGACAATGCTTAAACTCTAACTGGATTAAAAACTATTTAAACTACAAACAGTGTTTGTGTTCAGTGTGTGTATACTCTGGGGCCCTTCCGCTCTCCTTTGGTTGCCTGGCTTGACTACTGCTGCAATACTCTTCTAGGGGTTAATTCCCAAACCCTAACACCCATAAAGAATATTTGTAGCTCAAGGTTGACATGAGGGGTCCTTGGTGCTCTCTGAGTTTGGTGGTTTTCTTGCAGATGTTTCATTACCCAACTAGTTAACTTCATCAGTGCTAGAAGGGAGTGGAGTATGCAGACAGGAGGTAGACTATGAGGTTCTTGATACTCTCTGAGTTTGAGTTTCTTGCAGATGTTTCATTAATCATCAGTGCTAGGAAGGAGTGCTGTGTGCTGTCAGTTTATATTCTGGTGTCTTGCCTATCTGTGTAGGTGGGGAAGTTTGAAGAGATTCTTTGGTTGGGTTGTTTACCGGTAGCTGTTTGGCAGTTCTTAATTGGGATATTGCTTGATTGTTGGTAAGCAGTACTTGATGGTTGGTAAGCAATACCCCAATCAAGAAACTGCCAAAGAGCCACAAGTGAACAACCAACCAAAGAACTTAAGACTGCCCCCACCCACACAGATAGGTAGGTCACCAGAATATAAATGGACAGCAAACATTACCTACTAGCACCGATGCTGCTACCTAGTTTGGGTAACGAACATCTGCAGGAAAACAAGCCAGCTCAGACAGCAGAGACCCCTCAAAATGATGGCTAAAACATTTTTTAAAAAGTAATTTTAGTAAACAAACCTGAATTGCTTTGCCTCGAGTTTCAACGGATTGAAATCCAAAGAGAACTTTCAATAATCCATTGCACGCCATAAAGAGGCGACACCTTTTAAATTTTATTTCAACTCTTCTGTCAATTTAGGATGAGATGGAGTTTGGGTACACCCAGGCTCCCCACAAAACGTTCCCGGTTGTCTTTGACTCCCCCAGGAACAGAGGGCTAAACGATTTCCCCTTTAAGAAGATTTTGGTAAGTGGTTTTTTTGTCCCCCTTTCTGCTTTGATCTTGGCTGTTGAAAAATCACAGCTCTGCATTTTATCCTCAACACTTATTCATAAAAAAATAATAATCAAAATCCACGGTTGCTTTACTGATGTTCCATTAATCAAAGATGAGGTTGATAGTTCAGAAGGACTGGAACAAGTTTTATAGGCATTTATTTAACTCAATCTCACCAATGCAGCATGGATCAAGAGGATTGAATAAGGTGTGTTTGATTTGATGCAAGTGTTTGTTTCCCCCCTCACAAGGGTCCAGATTTTGGGTATGTAAAACGGGAACGATCCTCCAAAAAGTCTGCTACTACCTTGGACTCATTTGGGAATCTTGAAGTCAGCCCTCCAGTGACTGCCAAAAGCAAGGAATATCCCCTTGGGCGTATCCTAATAGGAGCCTCTTTTCCTAGGTAAGTGATGACAGGAGGCCATATGAACGTTCCCACGTATCTGTGGCTTAAATTCGGAAGAGTCTCTAGGGCAGGGGGTTCATTTCATTGAGGACTGAATCAGGATTGTGTTTGACTGGGGGTGGTGGTGGCAGCCAGGGTGTGTGTGGCAAGCTTGACATCACTTGTCAGGGGTGTATGTAGTGGCCCAAGTGCTCTGCCAGCGAAAACGGGCTCCCGAGCTCCATTTTCAGCTGTGATGGCCTCCTGCCAGTCGCTGGCAGAGGGTGGCAGGAGGCCATCACAGCCCAAAACGGAACGTGGGATGGTCGCTGTTAGGAATGTAAGTCACCTAACAGTTGGGTTGGAAAATATATAAACCAGGATAGACATTTTAATACTGTCTCTTTAAGGGAATGCTAAAATTGTAATTGGGTGTGGTTTCTCAAACGGCCATAAGATGGAGCCAGAAACCTGGGTTGTTCTGTTCTGTTGTTGCTGAGAGTGTTGCCATTCCCGCATTTCCCTATTGACTGTTGCTGATCGTCGTGATTCTTGGATTTGATGTGAGTCTTTTAACTGAACAGTTTTTGATACTGGACTTTGTTATTGGATTATCCCTGGACTGAAAACTGACTGCTATAACCATGTATCACTTGGACTGTGTTTGGACTTTGATTAACTGTTTACTGGAAGTAAAACCTACATTTTACTGTTGTGGCTCCGATTCCCGAGCCTGTGCTGTCAGAGGAAGAGGACTTGGAAGAGGAGGAGGAGGAACTGGGAATGCCTTCCTCCCCAGGACCTTCCTCTCTGGCAATGCCTTCCTCCCTGATAATGCCTCAGGTTTCATCAGACAACCGAGAGGAACAGCCTGAGATTAATCAGGAGGAAGGCATATCGGAGCAGCCCGACAGGGAGTCAAGAGGAAGAATGTTGGCTTGATCCTAGACAGCATCGTAGGGAGAAACCTGAGCAGCAACGTAGGAGGCTTGGGAGGGTCAGAGAGTGAGCTGAGTCATTGAGCCACACCCCACAGGGGATAAAAGTGGGTGTGTTGTCGGCTGGAACTTTGTACAGGACAAAGTTTAATCTTACTTCAGGTTTTCTTTGTGAATGATTTTTGTGGTCTACCTTGTAATTTTCTGTGAGTAGCTTTTTACTTGTTATTAGTTCGGACTTGGCAGGCAGAACGTGTTGGAATGCCAAGGACATTATCAGTTCCAAAGAATTAACTCTGTGAAGTCCAAGCCAGCTTGCCTGCCTGTGTTTGTGTGAGTTTGTACTCTTTCATCTTTTGGGAAAGAAGAAAGGTGAGACAGAACATTTTTCTATAAAGTGTAGCTGTGTGTGTGTTATTCAACATTACTCTCACTACGTCTCCCTGTATGCATTCTCCTAACGGGGAATTACCTCAACAGTTGCGCACGTCCCAAGCTCCGTTTTCACAGGCAGAGGCCCTGTGGACCAGATCTAAACACCCCGGGCCTTGAGTTTGATACCCTTGCTCTAGGGGTTCCTCTGCCCATATGGAAGTTCTGGAGGAGTTTGTCCTAGCATCCACAAGAATTGTACATTTCTCCAAGTTTATTTACCCCTGTGGCTTATCTTATAACGCATACTGTATGACTTAGGGTGGCATGAATCAATCCATTTTGGTGCATTAACAAATCATGGTTTAGCACACCATGAGAATTCAGATCCCACCTTTTTGTTTTTGTTTTTTAGGAACAACAGCCCAATGTCCCAACTGGTCAAGGACTTCCTCAAAAGCCAAGTTGTACAATCTCCCATTGAACTCTACACGGATTGGCTCTTTGTGGGACACGTAGATGAAATCCTGAGCTTTGTACCTGCCCCAGACCAGAAGGTATGGATCCCAACTTTCTTTCAAACTCGAAAGAGCTTTAAGTGACTTTACGTGATTAGTGAACATGTCAAGGCAGCTTCGGAGGCTGGCCAACAGCGGCAGGCAGGATTGTTTGACATTCCGCATTGCCACTCAGTGGTGCAGCTTCTAAGTGTCCCATACAGTGTCCCAGCAGACCCCCTGATGAAATATGGTTGTATTTACATTATTCACCACCAAGAGACATTTTGTTTGAAACCCTAGTCCAAGGGTCCTCAACCCCTGGTCCTTGGACAGGCCCCAGACAGTGGCATGCCAGAAAATGGGCCACACAAAGAAGCCGATCCGTGGGAGGCAGGTGGCACACGACACCACACCCCCTCTGGTCCGAAGAAATCCTTCTGTCCACAGAACCCATCCCTGGTGCCCAAAACCTTGGGGGAACACTGCCCTAGTCCCTCTGATCCCCCCAAAGAAATTGGCCTAATAAAATATTTCAACTTGCCATTCTTAAAAGCCTTGGAGGCCTAAAAGATCTATAAATCCACCCACACTGGTATAATGGAGGTTTCTCAATCATGCAGGTCACATTGTCCCAAAAGCTGCTTTTTCAAAAGGAAACTTCTCATAGCAATAGCTGTTAAAGACTTATATACAGCTTCCCAGTGCTTTACAGCCCTCTCTAAGTGGCTTAGAATCAGCCTATTGCCCCCAACAATCTGGCTCATTTTATCTGTTTTGGCAGTTAAAGTATCCGGTCAGCAGCTTCTGGCTGTCTACCCTGCGAGAAGCTTCTCGTAATCTGCTGAATTTTTATTTTTAGGCTACTGGTCTTCTCTCTGTCCTCTCTGCCTTACTCCCTCCTTTCTTACTCCCTCATATTCCAGGGTTTCCGCCTGCTGCTGGCCAGCCCGAGAGCCTGCTTCAAACTGCTGAAAGAGAAGGAAAAGGAAGGCTACGGGAAAGCCAAAATGCCCGAAGGTCAGTTGATTCTTCTTTCTCCCGTGTCATAAGATGCTAAATCATCAGAACTGAAACAACAGATAACTGGGAAGCCCAGTTTTTCCAAAGAGTGCTTTGTTTTCTGAACAGGATAAGGTCAACTGTTGGGCTGGGTTGCGTTAAAAGGGGTCGTTTCTCTCCCTTCCAACACGTTCTTCCCCACTGCGAACAAGCAAGGACTCTAAACTGTTACAATAAACAGCTTCCTCTATTATAGAATAGTCATAATAATCCTTCTCACTAAGCACTGGACTTCTAAAGTAGGAATTAAAAGACACATGCACACCCCAAACCAAATCATTTTCCTTTTTTCGAACAGGAATTGAATTTCAGGAAGACGGTCGGCAGCCCCGTTCCATATCAGAAATCATTGCCGACGGATTCTTAAAGAAGTGGAATGAATACTGCCAAGTAAGATCCCACATATTCTGCTGTTAAATCTGTAGACGGAGTGATCCAACAAAGACAACTAAGGGATAATTCGTTGTTCTGTTCAGACGCTGATGGCCTTATCTAGTCAGTAAAACATTAAAGCAAGGGTTACACATGAAGATGGACCCACCTTTCCAAACAAATTCTAAAACCTCCAGGCATTACAGGTATCCTTGACTTAAAAAATAGTTCGCTTAGTGACCAAAGTTACAGGGGCACTGAAAAAAGTGACTTAGGGGTCATTTTTCACCCTGAGCACCGTTGCGGGATCCCCACGGTCACGTGACTGACGTTTCGATGCTTGACAACTGGCTCACAACGGTTGTAGTGCCCCACGATCACGTGATAACTCTTTTGACAAGCGAAGATAAAAGAGAAACCAGATTCACGTAATATAACCATATTACTAATTTAACAGCCACACTGATTCCCTTCACAAACGCGGCAAGAAAAATCTTAAAAGTGGAGCAAAAATCAACAGATTTCTCACTTAGCCACATACATGTTTGGGCTCGATCGTGGTCATAACTCAAGGACTACCTGCACTGAAGTTAAGGCTTCATTGAACCCACTTTGCGGGCACTGAAATATTAAGTAGGGTCTCTCCTTACGCCTTCCTTTTCACTAAAGCTTCTCTTTCTTCCCTTTTCAGAAGTGTATTGATTGGAACAGAAACATCCTTAAAGAGGAGTTGGGCCTGGCAGAGGAGGACATTATTGAGATACCTCAACTTTTTCATCCTTTTCTCGAGCTCCCTCGGTCTTTTGTTCCTCAAGTGATTACGGCTTCCGCTGAAGCTTATTTCCCAGACATGGTAAGATTTCCAGCCCCAAATGTGTTTTGAGAAGAACCAGCCAAGAAATGACCCAGCAGGTCTTACCAGTCGAAGGTTCAGCTAAATTCAGCTGTCCTTCGTAGAAGCAAGAGAACATCTCAACGGGACCAGGTTTGACCTTCTGGTTGCCAACCCTTCTCCAGACAAGGGTGATGTGGGATGACAGGAAGAGCCACGTGCACTTTCGATGTGTTGGTTGGATTCACGCATCACAAGAAACTCTTAACACCAACCTTTTGTGGCTTGCTGGCCCGGCTGTGGGGGAAGATGGGAACTGGGCTGCATTGAGTGGCGGGACAGTGCGCACACAACCCTTGAGCAAGGGGTCAGCTGGCACACACACGTGAAGTTGGACTTGCGTGAGTGGCAAGCTGGCACACATGCACATGCCCACTGGGCCATCACGCAGGCGAGTTGTGTGCTATAGCCAACCACTTGCGTGGCCCAATTCCAAGTAGGCCACAGCCCGGCAGTGGCCTAGAAATTGGGGATCCCTTCCCAAAGGGGTTTGTTTGGCTCAAAATACTGGGTGAATCCCGTGGTCTCTCGTGTTCCCTTCTACAGCATCCTTCTGAACAGCTCTAACATGAAGCTACACAATCCCACTGAAGGTGGCAAATCAAGATTTCATCAATAGTAAAGGATTTAACCTCTTTGCCTTTAAAAATAGCTGGAGAAGTGGACTATGACAACTTATTGGTCTCCTTATTGTTGAATTTCACTAGGATAAAGAAAACGGATTGCAACCTAACCTATTAGACCAATGGTTATCTCCCTTCTGCAGGTAAACATGATTGTTCTGGGGAAACATCTGGGCATCCCAAAGCCGTTTGGACCCATCATCGATGGCCAATGCTGTTTGGAGAAAGAGGTCCGCCGACTCCTGGAGCCCTTAGGGTTGTCCTGCAATTTCATTGATGACTATGGAACTTACTACCTCAAGTTCGGCGATGTTCATTGTGGCACAAATGTCCGCCGGAAGCCCTTTTCCTTCAAGTGGTGGAACATGAGGCCTTGAGGGCCTCATCACGCCTTCTGTTTTCCACCCAGTGAGGATGATGAGACAGACCTTGTGCGTCTTCTCCCGCATTTCCACAGGAAATCCAGTAACTTTTCTAAGAATTCCTGGGTGATTCCTCTTTTGGTTGTTCTATGAAGGTGCTTACGAGCTTCTCTTGTGATTTAGACTTTCTCCAGTCTTTTCTCATCTGTAAATGTATCAGGTCTGCCAAAATGTTGTTAGTTGTATTCCCCAATCCCCCAAAAGAATAGAGGGCAGCTAAGTTCAGGCAGGATGATCTAATCCAGCGGTATCAAAACTTGCGGCTTTTGGGGCGGAAGCGTCACACGCTGGCCATGCCCAACCCCGGTTTAGCGAAGGGGAAAAAGTCGTGATACGTCACGTGACGCCATGAGTTTGACACCCCTGCTCTAATCCTTCTCCTTATCCACACACAACAATTCTAAAACTAGTTATAGAGGTTCAACAAAACATTTCATAGTCCTAGAAGGTTCATGGTCCTTCAAAGAATGCTATTTCTGTCTCCTCAACAAAGCTCAGGTTTAGCCACCTAAATAAGCCAAGTCAGATTGTCCGAAATCAAGAAATCCCCAAAACACACTCTAAAAATAGACATCCAACAGATGTAGAACATTTTCCAAAAAACAAGTTGGTTCAAAATCTTGCGAACCTGGGATGACAGAGTTGAAGAAAAATAATATTTGACATGAAAGTACTTAGTGGCTGGTCCCAGATGTGTTGTGAAGGCCGGCAGCCCTTCCAAGTATATCGATCAAAATAGTGATTATGAGTAATTAATCCATATTTTAGTTTCATGTTAATTTCTATATCATTTCAAACCACTTGATTTGCAAAGAGACATTATGAGGGTGCAATGATTGTGAAGTCCACATTTCTTCAATTTTTAAATGGAATGCACACCGTTGAATTATTATATATTAACAAAAATAGTTGCAGAGGCTTTTCTCACGAATCTACAAATTGTTTGAATAAATTGTGAAGAACAGTTAAACATTCTGTTCCGTTTTTTTAAACCAAAGCGTCCGTTATACGGTCATAAAGGCAGAATGAGAGGTTGAGGTAGTCTTTTCCTTACAAAAAGTCTGCTTACTGACCATTCAAAGTTACAACGGCACTGAAAAAAGTGACATGACCATTTTTCAGAGTTACGACCTTTGCAGCAGTCCCATCTAAATTCAGAGCTAGAAGAATTTAAAGAAATCAGAATTTAAAGAAATCAATACACCCACATGGAAAATACGGAGGGCCTCCAAAGATTTTTGGACTTCTGCTGCCTAAGGTACAGGAACACCTGTGATGGGTCTTTTTCACTGACCTTTCTCTGTTGACTTCAACCATCTCCAACATCTCCATCCAACCTCCTTGACTAGCTTCTTCGGATGATCTTGCTCTCTCTTTCCATGTCTTGGAGAAATGATCAATGGGGTAAGCACTACAATATCAAGATGTTCTCCAGAGTTTAACCCAGCTCAAAAATATCTCAATAAAATTGCTCAGGGGCTGCCAAGCAAGCAGTGGCACATTCTCCCAAAAGTGGGATCTTGTAAAGCAGTGGTCCCCAACCTTTTTTATGCCGCGGCCCGGTACCGGCATCAGCTGGGCGCCGCCATCTTGTTTTGATGAAAAAGTGCTTCCGGTGAGCTTTCTACCTGGAAAAGCTCACCGG